AAAATACGATGGATGCCAACTGCTTATTACTGCAGGCGCAGTTAAACTGGTGAAACAGAAAAAAACGTGCAAAATAACTTTTCCTTTGTGTACTTTTCGCTGCACTTGGTTCACATGGGTGGCAAAAAAAATAATGCGCTTTCTTTGGTCATGGGCTACTGTGGATTTGTCGCTTAGTTCACTTTTATAGTTGAGGTGCCACTGTTCCTAATAAACAACCCTACTAATTTGGTTTCATCCAATCAGCGGGAATTGTTTGCTTTCCATTCTCGGGATAGTAGACATTATCAACACTTTTACGCTTGATGAAATTCTTCAGCCCCAGGCTGGGCACGCCTTATACTTCCCAAACGCTCCCGCCCAAGATAAATGAATCTGATAAACAGAGATCTATCACTCATCAAAATTCTTCGTGGTTTCATGTCACTGGCAAGGGAAGTCCTGACACGGAATGTCAACCACTGTCATCTACACGGGCAGTAACCTGAATTGCATTGGAGCAAGGGTCAGGCTAGATCGCATTTAGGCTTCAATCCGTGACGGTTAGCTATCGTCCCCCAATGCTCAGCGACATAAGTTGCTGGCTAGTGGTGTAAGCCACTAGCGGTCATGGTTACGATCCCTAGCAGGGGACCTAGGGAATGCGTATCACTAACGAGTCCCAATAGGACGAAACAATCATGTGGTACATTTTCGGACTGGTTACTCGCCTATGCAGCTTGTACTCTGATTGCCGTGAACCAACTAAAAACTAAACGCAGATCAAAATCTTTTTGCTATAATGCCTAAATTCGATTTCGCCCTTAGTTTCGATGTCATGACTTTTTGGGACCAAAATGTGACATTTGTTTGCTATTAAGAATGGTATGTACAATGTAAAAAAACAAAAACCCGATCATTCATTGGGGCAAAATATACGGAGACCCAAAACAAACTACCACGAGCGCTTGAATGTGTGTCCTTAAATGGACGCCTAAATAAATTAGCAAAGGTAACCATCTTGAACAGCAGTACATCAGCCACTACAACGGATACATTGCTACCTTACAAAATCGATGATTTACGGAACGAAGAACAATAAGAGGGAGGGAGGAGAAACCGATGGTAAAACCTTAATGCCCTAAACAAAACTCGGGATGAAGGCTCCTACAGCTCGTCAACAATATGCCATCACAAGCAGCCGGCTTTGGTGCAAAGGTAAGGCACTTGCAAGATAAACGAAACAGCTCTGTGTTTATATATGCCGTTTTAATTGCGGCTTACTGCAAAAGAGTTACTGGCAGAAACACCTTGAGTAAACTGGAACAATGGATTGTCCAAATATTCCATGCACCTCATCTCGTAATCCCTTTCGAAAACTTATTGTAGATGTATGGAAATCCACGATTTCAGTCTCTAGCTTCGTGAACTACAAGGCTTGGGTTAAAAAAGCGCTCATTAAGCATGTAAAGAGCTAGATAGTCACGTTGTCGTCCGTGTACGTAAAAGCAATATCGCGTCCTAGCGACACAGGGTCGGATGAGCTCACAAGGCATCGAGTAGGCTGAAAATACGTTTACTAGTTCCATTTCAAGGCGAAGTCCAGCGGCCACTTGAAAAGGCTGTAATATACAATATTATTGAATCAATAGATAGTTCTACCAATACGTGTGCTGACCGTTCAGAGGTTGACGTATGTCTAAGTCAAACCAAAGTATCGGGCGTTTGATTCTTTTTCGGCTGAGAGCCGTAAGTGGGGAAGGGTCAACTCAGAGAGAAGTAATTTTAACTTATCTCACTCTGTGCGAACATTATTTGATGAAATAGCACCGTTTGACAGGATAACCTCGACTCTAATTTATGAAAGGTCATCATTCCAGATGTTTGGACATTGGATAATGTATTGCTCTTGAATTCTACTGACAGCACGCGATTAGAATATATATATATATATTATATATATATATAATAGTTACCGATGAAAGACCTGTAAAGTCCTCGCCTACAAAGTCGACATACTTTACAAAACAACATCCAGAAGGGATGGAGCTTGTGTTTCCATGAAGCTGATAGGTTGTTCCATAAGCCGGTGTTGAGGGGTATTCAACATCAACAAGTGTTCAGTAGCCATGGTCACGGTCACAGTTTCGCATAAAACGTGTTAGTCTGCCTTCAACCTTTTTGTCACCCATCACTAAATAACTGTTTGTTGAATGACTACGAATAACAATGAAAATTCTGGAAGCACTATTAGGGCACCTATAACTAAGACCATTTTAAATTGCGGGGAAAAGGCACACACCTTAATTAAATGTGCTCCGACAGTTTACTCCATTGAGTGAAAGTAGACGTCTTAGAGGCATTTAAACTAAAGCTTACGTGGACCGCAACTCCACCTCCGCGAAAGTCACATGTACGATTTGACAGCAGCAGGGCTTAACCAGAGAGATTCAATTCACTCACCAAGAATTCCGAGGAAAGTCACATATCAGTGAAGCCGAGGACATCTGGATCAACGTGGTCCACAATAGCGTCAGCGTCCACATCTATTTGCACAGGATTGTGCTTCACCAGGATGCGTTCTGGTAAGGCGGAAGTGTGCCACCGACATGCCACTCGAAAACGCATCAACCGCAGACCACTTCCGCTTTTCTCGTGACGTGCCTTGAGGCTTTGATGGCTACGACTGATTTCAGCCCATCCACTGATGGAAGGGTAGGTTGTATGCTGACTCCAAACTTCTTGACATATTGCGATCACTTCGGTGTGGAAGTGTTCACTGGCAGTGGGCAAGGTCCAGGGTCTGGGCTACTGATCACCATGCTTCCTAGACTGATGAGCTTCTGCACTGTCAGTCCGGGAATTTATGTGAAAACAAATATTAAGTCAACCGCGATTATACAACATTTGCTGTCGACTCAGCTACGCTTCGCGAGGTCGCGTTACTAGCTATGTACGAGCTTTAGTGGCATGAAGCGTTACAACACACGGAAAAACTACACACGCTTGTACACCACTGGTGATTGCACCAGTTGGAACTGTTGGTAAGGTAGTGTGGAGCTCTGTTACGATGGGTTTGTGTTCCAGCGATTACCAAGCACGCCGCACTCATTTGATAGCACTTTAAGTGTAGTTGCTATTTTATCCGTCATTTCTTGCTTTCTTTAGATAGGCGAAGGGGTGTGACAATCTTCCTTACTATGAACAGAGCCAAACACATTGTTTAAAGCATCGTCAACCACAAGAGACGCACACACAGGGATCAAAAGGTTCGTAAGCTGGTCTGGTCGGAGAGGTTGCATGAACTCTCAGTATTCCGCAGACCAGACACAAATACTTATTCAAGACTAGTTGCGATTCTTTTCAATTGCTGGTCTGTATCAGTAGACAAAGTGACGAGCGCCGAAAACGTGCATACAAAATCGGGCAATACTGAGTGTTGCGATTAAATCAGACAACTAAAAATTAAGCATTCGCTGTTCTCTATAAAAACGAATTACACTGGTCTCAAACCATTAGATATTTCGTGGAACGGACGGCTGCGGATGTGACACTCCACTCCACCGACTGAGTCGGTATCGGGTTGGAGCACTTCAGCTTGTTTCACAATGTCAGCGCATTTGCTAATTGCAGACTACTTTAGTCTGTGAGAAAGAAAATGCAGTCGGGAAGCAAAAGTAAGGAGTTAACCGGTCCTACTACGTAATAAACAAGTGCTCATAACAGATCTTGACTCAACAAACGTTAGCCGGAATCAATCTACCGGGAAAACTTCCTGTCGGTGATGGAGCGGAGAAACAACAGTGTTCCAAAGATGGAGCAGTAACATCAGTTGGATGGGAGACAGTTCGCAACTCGTTATCATCATTGCAATATTCCTCCTTGCTTACTAATGATATAAGGACGGTAGTTCCCATAAACAAATAGTTTACACGTGATGTGCAAAAGATGGAGTTGCCGGCTTTGTGCAACTTTGTTAGCTATACATATTAACATAATTCCGAGGAACTCTCTAACTTGTTGCTTGGTCCAGTTTAATATTCTACCAGAAAATAGCCATGTATACGAAATTGAATATGACTTTAAAACTATTTGCACCCATACAGGCATGCAGTGCTCGAATAAATGGCAAAAAATATACTGCTTTTGAGAGTTTTGCAACCGGACCTAGCTAGAGTAACTATTCACCCTAGAAAGCAATACTTGGCCGGTTGGTCCTACTGGAGCTCGTCAGTAGCGTACAGCAATTACGATCCAGCTGGATCCCGGATCCTGGATCCCACAAACTAGCCAATTAAAGCAGTGAGCCATTGGTGCTGTCGACGAAAGACCACGAAGGACTAGTGGTTTTATTCATTTGCCGCCGCTATGCATGATATGCTTGGGCGAGGGAGAGGGTTGTTCTCAGAGCCGCAACTACTCAGAGAAATACCACCAGCTGAAAGGTTACGAAATTATTGCGTTAATAATAAATTATTTGTAGTACCGTCGTATTTTGTATGCCACGTTAATTGCAGATGATTTATCGTTGAATTCGCTGCTTTTGAGGCCATAGCTAAACTTTGCATATTCATATCACGCGTAGTGGTGGAAAATGAGTTGCAGCCCGTAACCAGCCATGGTGTTTTGACACTGCCACCAATGGCTCAGTGGCTTGATACAATGATTCTAGGAAGAATGTTGTGGTCAACGACCCAAACACAATAGGGTGAAAGCATCGTCTATTACCTTCCTGGTGTGCATGTGCCTGACTGCGATGAACGTTCCCATGTTTTACATCACATCCTTTTACTATATTTTAATAAACTATACTTCATGTTTCTTTGTTTCTTCAGTGTGGAGCCCTTAGGGACAACAAATCTTGTGTGTGTAAACATGCTGCTTCTTTCTTAAATGTCCACCTGCAAGCAACGTTCATGACCAAGTGAGGCGAAGACGCTAGATTTAGTCGGAACCGGTTCCTAGCCCGCAGTTATCCCAACCTAACCGCATTTCAGAAAGGCAATCTATTTTCGGTCACATTCATTTTTTTGACAGATTTTCCGTTATCTAAGTTTAGAGCCCTCATTTATGCAAACTGTTCCGGTAATAAACAGCGATTCAGAGCGAATTAATTCAGTGCTCACTTTGAAACAAAAGGAATCAAGCAATAACGCTGTTTTTCCCAAAAACTAAGTTATTCTCCACTGCCACTGCTAGCCGCTTCCCTCACTTCCAAATCACGCACTCACCGTACATTCCAACTTAGCACACGGTGCACTTACATCGATCGACCTTGCGTCCCTTGGAGAACCATCTATCAAGGCATTCTGTCCTTTTGGTTTCGATCTATTTGCACTATCACGTGTTTTGACGTAACGCATTTGGGAGGATAAAGCAATCAACATGATGCACACAAAGGCTACATGTGCCGGAAAGTATCACAGCCGCCCCCGCACGTCAGGATACATTTACCTCAGGATATAACCCAACCCGACCACGCCATTCGCATGTTGCTGCCCACATCTGGCAGGATGCACAGAAGCACTATACTTCACTCTCTTTCAGCATCCAGTATTGGTCGAGCGAGTGAAACCAACCCATTTGTTCTACACCCAACCAACCAAATGTACTGACCCCAATTCGGCCACTTCAATATTTGGCTTACTATGATTTCACCGTGTGTCGGTTGTTCTGTCTAATTTTCCGGAACATTTGGAACAACCAGTTTCTGGCCTTTCGCCTTGGTGATCTCACAGACCTAGTGCTTGGCTTCTAACCTTTTGCTCCGTAGTGTGTCCGTTATGGCTTTTGAGCCAGTTGTTTTGAGTTTGCGACGTCCGACTTCAGATAAGTCTTGGGGATTTTCACTGGAAGGGGGCGCAGATCAAGCATTACCTGTGTTTGTACATAAGGTGAGTTGGAATGTGAAAATAATGCATCTTTTAGTATACGTGTTTCTACTGTTTTGGTTTCTTAATAGACTGCCCGGTGGGTGTTGCAAATGTTCACGTTCAGTCGGAACCCCATGGGTTTGGACTGATAGAACTCATGTAGCTATGAAAAGTTGCAGGATTCGTACAGTTACATGACGAAATGTTGGTGTGCGAAAATTGTTAGTATAGGCAACGTGCATCTCTCGCATCAAATTTAGCTGAAGGAACTTTTTCAATAAAAATCCAGAATAACACTGGTTTGACACAGGAAGGGCAATTGAAGAGATTGCAGCTAGTTGCTTACTGCTGCTATATTATTATTTTTCTAATATTGATTGTCAACGATAAATGAGAAGTTTTGCGGTGACCCAATGCACACCAATGTATTGTGAGATAAATTGAATTGCGCTGGAGGTTGACTCACTATGCAGACGGATTTATGCGTATCATGCTCTCAGTACTAAACCTTGTCTACCATATTCGTTCCGTTTTCTTGTTGACTTAGAGAAAGTAATCAGTAGCATGCCTCGACGTTCGGTTAAGTGACATACATTTGATGTTCTTAATTTTAGATCAATTTTATACCTCACTGCATTTCCAGTGCCAGTGTAAACCGCTCGGCGTATTCCAAGGCGGGTACATATTTTGACTTTAATTGATCTGCTTCAGATGCTTAGTTGGTTTCAACCGAAGCATACACACTAACTAGTTTAGACCTTAGTAACGTTGTCAAAGGCCATTTGTCGGATACTGCTCCGAGACCAATAGAGAAATAGAAGGAATGCGTCTGATACCCTCTAATTGATGATCAATGGGGCCTGTAGGAGCATGATCCATTACAATCGACAAAGCGTGTAGTATACAAATGAACATTTGACTAGTTGAGATAACTTGACGTTTACTAGGTGTATGGTAATAACACTTAAGCATCTGTGGATAGTTTGCATTCAATTATAAGCTATTTCTAATACTCGACGTCTAAATGCGTCTGACTCACCTATGCACTTTAATCAATTTATTATGTATCCGTGTACCTCTTTCGAAGTTTGACAGATGTATAAACTGGCAAATACGGGGGATTCACCTTATAAATTTGGCGCTTTGTTTGCTGAGCAGTCTCGAGTACTTATATATTATGTCGTATCAAGGCTGCCCAAAATATTATTTGTTATTCTTCTCTATTTGCTGGCGAAATATCAAGCGGACCTTCTATATTCCATTAGTTATAATATCTGCACATGCATCTTAGCAGAACAATTGTTTTATAATTTAATTTATCTTACAAGCTGGTCTCCTGGGATTCCAATACATAACCGGCCGTCTATGGAAGTGAACTAGGTATAAAACAAACTACTTCTGCATATGTTTATAAAATGTGGCAGCATGTCGTTTCCTCCATCTCGTTGATATAAAAGTTTCATTGTTTGAGAACGGTGTAGTGAATATTTAGTTTACACAAGTGGAAACGGCATTTTGGTAGGTGAACTATTGTTATTAAGTACATACTTTGTAGCAACAGGTATTCAGTAATATATGTTTGCCTCGCATTTCAACGTGAAATCATTCCTCAATTAAATGTTACGTTTTGGTTATTTGCAGCAGCTTCAATATTTTAACTCTTAATCAAGATGAATGTCTTTAACTTGCCTGCTTTGCCAAAACGTACGCACTAATTTACTTAAGATTTGCTTAAACGCTTGATAATGTGCAGAGTTTGTGTAAAGATTCTGATATGTAGAAATTATTTTAGCAAAGCTGGATCATCTCTATTCCTGGTAGACAGAGGCTTCACACCCATAATTTGTGACCCGGGGGAATAAATGAGCAGAATAAATGTGAATCCAGTTGCTCAGTGATACTCCGACTTGCCAAACTCACCAGGCGGATAAGTTAGCTTTGGTCTATTAGATTTCCCTGCTGACTGGGAATTGAGTGCTGAGAGCGCAAACAAAAATCTGACGCTTGCTATCCTCCTTAAATGCTTTTTTCCAGAACATCTTTTTCAGAACACTGCGAATACGGATTTCTGCTTGAAACTCTTCAGTGCCGTTTTAGATATAAGCATGTTAACCTTCAGTTTGCCGAAACACATACTTTATAACCTTCATCTACAAGAAACACGAGGTAAATTGAATGTTTTGAGCAAAGCGTACTTTCGACACCACCATTCTCTTTGTATCGATTAATTGAACGTTGAGCAAGGTCAAGCAGAATGTCCATATATAAGTTTGTGTTTAACAGTCAGTACGGTAGGTCCCCAGCAGTACAGATGTTGCAAGCAATTGTATCTTCATTGAATTTAATAGAGCTTTGATCGGTACCAGTACTTCCTGGTACTATCTTCCCAAAAATCCTAAGCGTTGCCAGAACAGCTCGAAAGAATGAGGGTTTCCTCGTTCCAACCTAGACAGCGCTCCTTATTCGTTAATATTCTCCTATTATTAACCAAAGAGTAGACCTATCCACACGACATTTTGGCCCGGTAACTCAATGCCCATCGAATGACTGCCGCTTGATACTGAACCCCGCCAGTAAAATTTTCGCCGTATTCGCACGGTGTGTCCACAGTGATCTATACCCTATTTATCCCTATGTTCAACCGCTCAGAATGTTATGGTAAATGACGTTCGGTGCTCTTTAGGTAATCAGCAGTGTAAAATAAACTACTAGTTCACTTTAGATGGAAATTGGGTGTTGCTTGCCCGAAAACACTGCTAGTTCACTGATTTGTATAAATTGGTTGGATTACATTTACCGCGTGCATATATCGATTGACCACTACGTCGCCTGTTATTCATCAGGGTAAGAAGGGAGTGTGACCGAATGCAGAGAGTCAGCTGGCGTGTGAAACGCACGGTGTTCACCAAAGGCCGAAACCTGAAAACGTGCATATGCTTTTCTATTAGGATGGATGGGAAAAAGCTTTATGTGCACGTGTGCACCGAAGGGATTATGTTCGAACACATTTTCAGTGCCCAAATGACTCATTCAGGAGGTACTGTTTGGCCATCCCACGGTAAACACTTTAAACGATGTAAAGCCAGACGGCTGAATATTGTGATGAGACCGCTTAGTGATAAAACACCTGGAATGCACATTGCTGAAGAGTTTTTTGAGGCTTCTTAATTACTAAATACAAGATGTAGTCCTGCTTGCGTTTTATTATTAACCGTTGCAACCATGATGTACATTTGATGGGCCGTTACTACGGAAAGTCATTGATTAATTAGTAACTCATTCAAAGTTACTGATATGTGTGCACACGGTGTGCTGGCCTGCCTGTGTTAACTTACCTTACTACAATTGTTTCAGCCTTAGACTGATTTCCCTGAATTTGGAACTCGCCGGTTTTTAACACCATGAAAATACAAGCTGCTTGGTCTAGAAAAGAAAAAACTAACGACAGAGTAACTCACAGTCTTATGTGAATAGCCTTCAGTCCAGAAATGATAAACTTACTCCACATGAGGTTAATACCTAGACAAACGCACAATGTTACACACAAGAAACCTTTGTCGTACATTAACAAAACCTCTTCCGGTAGCAACTTGGTCCTTTAGGTTAAGTTTCATTTGCAGACGTCTCTGTCTAAAGTGTCCACGGACCAATTTAACCAGTCGTGAATAGCTATGCTTGAACAAGCTAAAGCTACTATTGCTCTACTCCATACACGACCCAGTTACTGAAAATGACCCCGCATTATCTCAAAAGAAAGGTTGGTTCAACTTAGGGCTGTATCTTCCAGCCTAATGAGGCAGTGAGTGATGGAAGACCCCAACAACGAATCATACCAAGCCGATGCTTATAAAGAGTCCCAGAATGGCCACACGCCAAACGATACCTGGTAGTAACTATGAATAACAATAAACCTATAATTTTCCCTATAAGCTTGTGAGGAATATCCTCATATCTGCGTAGTCCGGTGATGTTTCATTATCATGAAAATGTTAGCTGAGTTATTCAGCCTGGTGGTAACAGCATACCGAATGCAGCAGGATCAACTATCATATTCTATTAACATTTGTTGACAACCCTTTCCAATTTACTCGCTCCTAAAGCATCATTAACGTACACAACGCAACAGCCACCACGACCAGTAAGACGGCTACTGCTAACAGTCATGAAGTCAATAACAAGTAGCTCTGTGCACTGTGAAGCGAAACCATGTTTCCGTTACAAGCACAACATGCGGTCGAGAGAAGGATAATAAGAGTCGTAGGTGATGTTTCTTGTTCGCTAGTGATCGAGTTTTCGTCAGAAGAAGGCTAACTATATCAATTTGAGATAGGAGGCTTGTTGCCTCTAACATCAGCCTGCTGGGGCTAGACTTATTTAATGCTGTATCTTCTAAAGATTGTTGAGAAGCAATGTCATGCTCATTTTGGCTCTATTCATTTACCTGTACCAAAGGACCTATTGGACCTTCAGCCCCTGCACAAGGTGCGATTTGCAGAGACAGTGACGTAGGCCACGAATGATAAAGCGTAGTCTGTTGATGCATGGCGCAAGTGGGAACTCGGCTTACTGTACATGAGTGAGGAGATTTGTGGCACTGTACAGGGCTTGAAACACCATGTAATAAATTCTGCAGTCCCAATAACTGGTTGATATGCGTCGGGAGGATGGGAGGTAGGAAGGGCTCCGGGTGAGGCAGCTGGTTCCCATAAAAGGCAACTGCAAATCAGCCGCATGTTTGTAGTGGTTCTCCAAGGGTAGAAACATATTGCGATGGTCGACTACATGACTGAGTGGATACTCAAAATGTGGTACGGGTTGTGAGAGAGAGATTTCATGAGATGGTGCAATCTTTCTACTGTAATTATCATCATGGCATAGATAAGCATCTGTGCTCATGGAAAACGGACGGAGAAGAGAAGGACTAGATGCACAATGAGTTGCTGGATCACGAACCTTTGTACGAATTTGATTGGCCCTGATCTTGGGAGAAGCGTTCGAACCATTTATAAATGAGTTAAGTT